TGGTTTTATTTACATTCATTTGTAAAATGATTTAACAAAAATGTTAATAAGTTTGAGTTTAGCACACTTAAAACTTACGCATATACTATGTATATTTTAGAGATATGTTATTCATATGACTTTATACGTTAAATAGAATAAGCACCTTCTTTAATTTTGGCCAAAGTGGGACTCTGGAATTTGTTCCAAAGTTTGACTCTTTCATAGTTAAAGGCATTCATTGAAGTTCTGAAAGTGAGGCAATGTTGCCACCTACTGGAGAAGCATGGTAATGGTGATGACAAAGAAAATTGTATAGAATTCTCTAAAGTTTTATATTATGAGGTAAAAATCAAGCTGATTTATTCACATTACAACCATCTTGAATTGTGATTGGCAGCAAAAACAGTGACTGTATAAAATCATGTGGTTCTACTAGGTGTCCTGTGCAGCTGAAGCCTTTGTGGCCGTGAGCTTTATGATGATCTGTCCTGCAATATTTGTCTTGAAAACGTAGAAACTGAGACGCATCAACACAATGGCCTGGATTTATATGCTTTTTCCTTTCTACCCATGTTAATATGAACAATCCTGTTCCTCCTGTTCCTTCTTTTACTTTCCCAAGTCACCTTTATTTCCATAAACTGATTTCCAAAACACCAAGTTTCCCTTTTAATTTTTGCCAAAGATTCAGTCTATCCAGTTCTTTAGAATTCAGTCTGAGATAACGTTTCTCAATTACTATTCAGAAGCATCCTCAGCACCAAATTTGTTGAGCTAAACTACCCTCATCAAGGCAGATAGAATATCACTTGGAATGGGTACATACCAAAATACTGTTGTTCTATACTCAGTTAACACCAAGATTTTCCCTTTTGTCACTTACACACACACACACACACACACACACACACACACACACACACACACACACACCACCTGAAGTGCAGAGTGACGGAGACAAAAGGGGAAGTAGCAGAGGGGTGATGTCCTGAATGCACTTGCAGCTGGACCTGTAGGAGCTCGCCCTCATCTCTGCCTGCCTGCCTAGACTTTGTGGAAGGTTGTAGGCACACAGCACACCACGTCCCCAAGGAAACCCCCAGCAGTGGTTTCAGCTAACTGAACCTCAACCTGGCCTATTCACTGGTCATGCAGTGAAAGTGGTGGGCTGCACCCCAGTCTCTCTTCTCTGTCCTTGGACAAGCTGTGCTGGAACTTCCTTGATAAGCAACTCTAAGAAGTCAAACGTGACCCACAGCCTACTTGCCAAGCACAGGTGGTGAATGTGACCTGAGGCTTAGCTTCCAGCTCTGTGTGTGGAACAACGTGAGTTGCTTGGAGGGTCCAGAGAGACAGACATGCCTTCTAGCCAGTTACAGTGTCATTGCTGGTTGGGAGGACTGTTGGGGAACCCCCTTCTGCCTTCCCCTTTCCTAGTCTATATAAGTTGTGCTTGCTTTACAATAAACAGACATGCTCCATCAGACTGTCCTGGGTGGTTCTTGTGGCTGAAGAACACCATCACCATATCCCCTTGGTGGTTTTGGGGACCTGCTGGTAGGAAAACCCCCTGAGATGGGCCAGGTTGAAATCAGGAGCCTGGAACTCCATCTGGATCTCCCACAGGGTGGCAGTGGTCAAAGCACTTAGAGCATTTTCTGCTTCCTTTCCAGGTGAATTAGCAGGGAGCCACATGGAAACAGAGGATTGCAGCTGATGGTTTAACCCCCTGCACCATAAAAGCAGCCAGAAATTTCTTTTTCCTGTTTCTTTCCATTGGTAATTTTTATATATTACTCTTTTCCCACCTGAATATGACTCGTTAAGGGCAATAATTATGTCATTTTTTTAAGATTTATTTTATTTTTATTGGAAAGGTGGATATACAGAGAGGAGAGACAGAGAGCAAGATCTTCCGTCCAATGATTCACTCCCCAAGTGAGCGCAATGGCCGATGCTATGCCGATCCAAAGCTAGGAGCCTCTTCCAGGTCTCCCGCGTGGGTGCAGGGTCCCAAAACACTGGGCCGTCCTCAACTGCTTTCCTGGGCCACAGGCAGGGAGCTGGATGTGAAGCGGGGGCCGCTGGGATTAGAACCGTCACCCATATGGGATCCCGGGCGTGCAAAGTCAGGACCTTAACTACTGCGCCACCGCACCAGGCCCAATAATTATGTCATTTTCATGCCTGCCCTATCAATCCTTGTCCCCCACCCCAGTATTTTTCATATGGTAGTATTCAATGTATACTAAAGTAAATATTTAATGAAATGTGTAATGCTCCTAAAAATGCTTTTATTCCTGTGCAAGAGAATGTGCAACATAATGTGAAATGAAATTTGGAGGGCTGAGAGGGGAGTGTGTTGTGCCACAAGGAGTTTAACTGCCATTTGAGAGGCCTGGCTACCCTACTTCTCATCCAGCTTCCTGATAATGTGTTCTGGGAAAGCAGGAGAGGGCCCAAGCCTGAGGGCCTCTGCCATCATGTAGAAAGCAGATGAACTCATGTTTCCTGGCTTTAGTCTGGCTCAGCTCAGTCTATTTAGGATATTTAGTGGAAGTGAACTAGAGATACCATTTTCTCTCTCTCTGCCTTTCAAGTAGATGCAAATAACACATATTTTAAATATGTTTATTTTTATTGGAAAGGCAGAGTTACACAGAGAAAAGGGGAAGCAGAGCGATCTTCCATCTGCTGGTTCACTCCAACAATGGCCACAACAGCCAGAACTGGGCCAGTCTGAAGCCAGGAGCCTCTTCCAGGTCTCCCACACGGGTGCAGGGACCCAAGGACTTGAGCCTTGCTCTGCTGCCTTCCCAGACCATAAGCAGGGAGCCGGATGGGAAGTGGAATAGCCAGAACACGAACTGGTGCCCATACGCGATGCTGGTATGGACTTAGCCTACTATACCACAGTGCCAGCCCCAATAATAAAATATTTTTTGGGAACTGGTACAAAACATAGTGTTTACTGGGTATTTGGGCACCTCATATTCCTTTCATCTGGCTTTTGGAGAACAATGGTGGAGACTGCAAGGCTAGAATGAATCAGAGAAGCAAAGTGCTGGTGATCAGTTATACACAGGGTTGTCTAGCCAGTCTTAGTCCAGACTGCCATCCCAAAGAACCACAGAGCAGGCTGCTTAGAAACAACAGACATCCATTTCTGGTTCTACAGTGTGTTAGTGCGGCTGGGTCCTTGTGAGTGCTCTCAGTTCTGACTGCAAACTGTCAGCTTCCTGTGGTGTTTGCACATAGCAGAGACACAGAAGCCCTTGGCCCCTTAGAAGAGCATCAAGCCCATCCGTAAGGGCTGCTCCCCCAGGACCCAGTTACCCTCCAAAGGCCTCACTTCAAATACCCTCCCTTGCTGGTAGTGGGGGATGTGGAGATTCAACATCTGAATTTAGACTGGGACATAAACTGTGTTTACATTATTCTAAGTCATGGGCTAATTGCTTTTTGACTTCTTGGAGGAGAGACCCAGGACACAAAACAAACTAACAAACAGATTCCTATATCATGTTCTTGGAAAGCTATCACACAAGAATAGTTTAAAGGAATACCATGTGCAATAAAACTTCCAGGAAGTAAAGCCATGCAGATTAGGACCTACTGAGAAAGGATTTAGGAGAAGATAGGTTGTTGAATTATATCTTAAATTCCCAAATGTGAACAATGAAAAAAGGTAAAAGGTGAAAACAGATAAAGGTAGAAAGCACACATTTTTGATAAGTGATACAAGATAGCGGGCCTAAGGAAAGTAGCAGACACTCCCATTTCTCATTCCTTCTTCACGTTTACTAGAACTCTTCTGTTCTGAAACCCACTAGCTACAAGTGGTTCTTTAAAAATCAGGCCAGCGTGGTGGCTCAATAGGATAATTGTCTCCCTTCTAGCACTGGCATCCGTACGGGGACCAGTTTGAGTCCCAGCTGCTCCACTTCTGATCCAGCTCCCTGCTCATGATCTTGGACAGGGAAAGAGGCTGGCTCAAGATCTTGGGCCCTTGTACCCACGTGGGAGATGGGGGAAATGTATGCATGCCTTTGGTCACTGCCCCGGGAAAGCACGCGGGCACTTGTGCCTGGCTTCCTGCAGATTTCACCCCACATGCCCTTTCCCTTTGATTTTTTTTTAAATCTGTGAGTACAAAACTTGTGACAGCGCTTTCTCAGGAGGGGAGACAAGCAGCCCAGAGGGAATTGTCTTAGGAAGTTGTCCATGCAATGCAAAATGATGCCGGAAGCTATAAGAGGGACCGCGAGTCCAAGGCTGATGTAAAATACATTGGCTGGATGGGACAGGAACCCGCGTTGATTTTACTCGGGCCGAACTGTCACCCACTGCACTGCCCCCTGTATAAGTGGACGGTTCGGGTGCGCCTCGTTTGTGCTCGGGTTCTCAGAGTGGGGGCTTTATCGGCGCACGGAGTTGGGAGGCGATAGACAGGAGACCCCCCAGAGCCGTAACTGCTGTGTGGTTTTCCCGGGCGGTTGCGGGCGCGGGGCTTGGGGCGCAACAGGCTCCACGTCGCGGAGGAGAGCTCAGCTTTTCACACACTCCCAGCCCACTGCGTTTCCAGGGTGACTGGACTGTGACGCGGACGCGGGGACACGGCCGCCAGCGACCCAGGAGCCAGGGGTGAACTTGACGCTCAGCGCGAGACAGAGTGGTCACAGCCCGCGGCCCCGGCAGAGAACACGGGCGACCGCGCCCCCGCCGCCCGCCCGGACCGCTTTCCACTTCCGTTCGCGAAGGGCCCCGACTCCGTGGCTTGCCGAGGTCCTAGCGCCGGAAAGGTGTCCGCGGACATCGCCTGACTGCTGCCCAGGCCAGGGACCCCCAACTGCTGCCTCCTCTCCGTGGAGGGCTGAGACGAGAGCGCGGAGAGGATGCCCGATGCCGGGGGGACGTCGCCCCAAAAGCGGCGTTGGGGGCGGCGCGCAGGCGGGCAGCCCGTCGGGCAGGCAGATGCCGAGCCGGTTGGCGGAGGGGAGGGCTGGGAGACTGGCCAGAGCCGAGTCGTCTAGGAAGCCGCGGTCGCGGGTCAGCCGGCGGGGAGGAGCTGTGCGGACTCAGCGCGAGCGCAGCGACCTGGGCTCGGACGCCGGCGAGATGCCCCTGTTCGCCGCCAACCCCTTCGAGCAGGACGTGGGTGAGTGCCGTGGCGGCTCCTGCGGCTGCTGTTCGTCCGGTTGGGAAGTGGGCGGGCAGCCCTGCGCGGACGGGCAGGGGCGGTGCCGCCGCTTCCGTGTCGGGGTGTTTGGGGGGCGATCTCGGAGCCTCACGAGAAGCCTGGGGGGCATCTCCTGCCTGTCTAGGATGCACAGCCCTGCGCGGCAATAGGGCGGAGCTGGAGTTGGCCGGAGAGAAGTTTTGGATTGGAACTTGGTGCTCCCCTTGTCTTTGGAGAGACCCTACTGTCCCGGGCAGCTCAGCGCTGGAGTCTGCAGATGCGACTGTGTCGTTTCGTTAGGGAAGATGAAGGGGAAAACTCTAGAATCTCAGAACGATGGGGGGGAAAGGGGGACGCCTCCTGTTTGTTGGGTCCCGAGAGCGCGGATGTTTTCCTCTGTAGAGTGAGAAGATGATGGACTGAGTTTAAGAACTTATTTTAGGGCATTAGAAACACAGTAAAATAAACTGGTTCTCTAGGTTTTAATTTTATGATTGGAAATTGGGCCACGTAGAAATAGGAACATTTTCAGCAGACACTCTGTTTCATAGTTGACGTTTTGTAATTATGAGGAAGTTTTAGAAAAATGCCCCGTTTGGGGATCTCATGTCATCCCCAATCCGTGAGTCAGAGTGCCCGTACTTATGGCCCTTAGATCGCTGTCCAATCAGTATTTCCATTACTTCCTGGAACTCTTGCTGGCAGAGGAACCCAGATGGCTTTGTCTCTGCCTTCCTGCCTTTGGAGACCATTGGGAAAACTTGTTCTAATGGAGCAAAATACAGTAAGGCAGATAATTTCTTAAAAAAAAAAAAAACTGTTTATTGGAAAGTCAGGTTTTATAGAGAGAGAAAGAGACCCTTTCTCAGTCGCATCACTCCCCTAGTGGCCGCAGGGGCTACACGCTGAGGTCCATCTGGAGCCAGGAGTTTCTTCCAGGTCTCCCATGTGGGTGCAGGGTCCCAAGGCTTTGGGCCATCATCTACTGTTTTCCCAGACCACAAGCAGGGAGCTGGATAGGAAGCGGTGCCGCCAGCATACAAACTGGTGCCCATGTGGGATCCCAGTGCATGCAAGGTGAGGATTTAGCCATTCTGCCAGGCCCAAGACAGATGATTTCAAAATTTAAAAACAAACAAACAAACAACTTTTCCTTTAAGGGAAATTGGGTGGAGGGAGGGAAGGGAAATTGGGTGGAGGGAGGGAAGGCAGCGCTGTTTTTTTCCTTTACCTTTAGTTAACATTTAACAGACTTGATGTGACTTTCTCTCCCCCCCATTCTGTTAACTTTTGAGATAGCATGTTTTAGATATACACTAAAGTGAAAGGATTAATACTTTACCTAATAAGTTAAATCGCAAGAAGACCTTAATGTAATGGAACTACAGGCAGTAACAGTAAACAATAATGAATAGAAAAATGACCATTTCATCAAATTCTAAAGTAATTCCAGGCCGTTAAAATTATACTGGTGTAAATCCTTAACCACTGGTTTGACAAAGGTATTAAAGTTTTACAAAACTACATTTACAGTGATACTGGTGCAGACATTTCTCTGTTTTGAAAGTCTTAGCTACTATTTGTATGGGAAAACAGGCCATAGTTGGTATTTTTCTGGGTCTGGCTCATTTCGCTCAATACATTGTGCTCCAGTTGAGACCGTTTTGCTGCAAGCATTAGGATTTCGATCTTTTTGTTGTAGCTGAATAATATTCCATGGGTGTGCCACTTGTTCTTCATCTTCCCATTCATCTAATGGTGGACTGCAATGCGCTATAAACACGGTGGTGCAGGGACCTCGGACTCACCGTGTGCAGGTCTTTGGGTTATATGTGCAGTAGTGGGACTGCTGGATCGCATGGCAGGCCTACATCCAGTTTTGTTTTTGTTTACCAAACCTGCACACTGTTTTCCACAGTGGCTGCACTAATTTGCATTGCTCACCAGCAGTGCTTTAAGTGTTCCCTCAAGGGAAATAATGCTTTCTTAGAAGCCAATTGCTGGGCCTGGTGTGATAGCCTAGTGACTAGTGCACCAGGATCCCATATGGGCGCCGGTTCATATCCCAGCTGCTCCACTTCCCTTCCAGTTCCCTGCTTCTGTCCTGGGAAAGCAGTCGAGGATGGTCCAAAGCTTTGGGCCCCCTCACTCGCGGGGGAGACCCTGAAGAGGCTCAGCTGTAGTGTAGCAACCACTTGAGGAGTGAATCAGCAGATGGAAGATCTTTCTGTGTTTCCTTCTCTCTGTAATCTAACTTTCCAATTAAAAAAATCTGGAAAAAAAAAAAGCTATTTGCTTCCTGAGTGAAAACTTCTCTGATAGAAGTAAACTGAGGAGTTTGGTTCACTATACTTTCCCAGACGTTCCCCCTAGTGGCTCCTGAGGTCCCTGCAGGTTTGTGGATCAGTAAAAGAGATACTGCTGATCATATAAAAAACACAATTTTTTTTTTAAGATTTATTTATTTTTATTTGAAAGGCAGATTTAGAGAGGAGAGACAGAGAGATCTTCCATAGATCTCCCATTTCCTGGTTCACTCCCCAGATGTCCACAATGGCTGAAGCTGAGCTGATCTGAAGCCAGGACGTTCTACCAGGTCTCCCACAGGGTTGTAGGGGCCCGAGGACTTGAGCCATGTTCTGCTGCTTTCCCAGGCTATAGATGGAGCAGGAGGAACCAGTGCCCGTATGGGATGCTGGTGCTTACAGATACAGGATTAGCCTGTTGACTCACTGTGCCAGCCCCCAAAACACTGTTTTATTAAGCATCTCATGGGAAGTCCCATCAAGCAAAGCATCAAGTGTTTATCAGCTCATGTATGACTGAATTCAGTGTTCAAAGGCAATGTAAAAATAAAAAATTCATTCTAGCTGAGTGATTGGAATTACAAAGTGTAATGAAAGACTGTGGAGCTCAAATTGGTTTTAAATCTGTACTGTAAGAAAGATTATGTGTTGCATTTTCATATCTTAAAGCTCTTTTTAATGTGAAATAGTTAAGCAAGACAAAGCAAGTCATCTCTTGACTTGAAATGTTCCTTTCCCAAGCAGTATCACTTCCAGTCAGGTGGCATATGGGTGCTTTAGGAGGGACTACATATGTGATGGGGATCTTACGAAGGTTCTGTGCCCTAGTGATGTTGTCGTCTTAGTTTGTGTAAGCATACTCTGTGTGTTTGTTGAGTGACACAGCTGCCTTCTTGTTTGTGTAAGTTACTCTGGTGTGTGTGCAGTGATGCAGTTACCTAATGACCTGTTTCTGAAGTCTCCATCCTTAATCTTTGTATAACTCATCCTCATTCAGCAGGTTTTTCTCTGTGGTTCTTGCTATCATACCTTTGTTCACTCTGGCTTGGGTAGCTGCTGTGTGTCAGGCATTGTGATAAAGTGAACACACACTGCCTTCCTGCCTTCCAGAAGTTCTCAGCCTGGCGGAGGGCACATTCACATGTATAGAATTATGATGCAGAGTTTCCTTCAGTTTTCTGTGGCTGTCAGAGGGCACTGGAGACTGGGCCATTTACAAAAGGTTGGTTTGGTTCAACCTGTGTTCTGCTCCTGGTGAGAGCCTAGTGAGCAGGGCAAGAAGTGGGTGCCTACAGGAGTGAGGAGTAGGGCACTAGACCCGAACCTGGTGCTTTAAGGAACATGTGAGTCCATTCTGCGGAGTGGCTCCCTCCTAGCCCAGAATGCCTCCTAAAGATGCCTTCATGTCTCAGCACTGTTGCCTGGGGAGCCTCATCCAAGCCGCAACACGTAGTGTGATCATATACATGAAATGCTTGACGTTCTGTGTGTAAAATAGCCTTCTTACCTGTAGAGAAGACAGGGACAGCAGGTAGGAAACTATCCTTTCCCTCCCCCTTTCCTGGCTACACTTGTTACCCAAAGCTCTGTTCCTATCCCCAGTTCTACTCAAAATAATGAATGCAAGGTGTTAGGGTAAAGGAAAGAGATCGTTGGTCAATAGAAGAGGGTGCAGCAGGCTTCTGAGTCTCAAGGACTGTCATTCTCCTGGAGTTGGTGTGTGTGGCTTCTACAAGGGATCACAAAAACATCTTCTGGGGTCAGCTACCGCAACTTGCCACTAGATGGCTGACACACTGTGCTGTTTCAGTGGTTGGTGAACCTGGAGGGCCACTGCTAGTGACATTAGATCTAGCCTGGCCAAATCGCTCTGCTCTGGAAAAGAAATGGGGGTAAGGAACAAAGCAGTGCCACCCTTGGGACATGTGTGGGCAGTTGGGAATCCAGCAGTGTCACCCTGAAGGATCAGCTTCTTGGTGTTGCATCTGAGTAATACAGACTGTCTGCCTCTATGCATCTGTGCCCAGCCAAGCCTCTGCCAGCAGGAAGCATATATGATACAGTTACTTAATAGTCAAGAGCTTCTGGTAGGTACGGTCTCAGTGGAGATTGAGCAGTCCTGACCCCATTCGTGTGAGAAGAAATCCTTTTCTCAGTGCCTGAGAAAAACTGTGACAAGTCAAGATATAAGAAATGTGCTTAGGAGTTGATGGTGTTTTGCTAGGTGAATTTTGGTCAAAGGTTAGGATGCAAGGAATTCTGGCAAGTTTCTGTCTTACAGCCAGACCTACAAACTCCGAAAGGTGTACTAGGTATAGCCACATTGCAGCTCTGTAAGCATCTTCCTGTATTTCTTCAAATTTGGATTCGTTCTTTGTTCAGTTGGAGTGCCTGGTGTGAGCTCCAGCTCTGCTTCCTGCCTCTGTGCCCCCTGGGATGCAGTGAGAGCACTTAGGGACTTGGTCCCTGGCACCCACGTGGGGATCTGCCTGGATTTGGCCTACTCCATTTGGGAAGTGAGCAAATGGGTGAAAGATCTCTGCCTTCAGCTGGTTTTTAAAAAGGCCAGTTCTACCCTGAGTTTCTGAGGGCCTTGCAGTGTTTTCTGAGTCTTATTAAAGTTTTGATTTTCATATTTAGTTCTTTAATCTATCAGACTTGATTTTTCATTTA